TCCCTCGCCTGCACCATGCCGGTAAGGCAACATCGCAACACATTGTACACCTCTGGGCCCGCAAGACGCAGCGGCGCGTGCCCGCGCCGCCCGCCGTCGAGCCTAGGCCGCCGCCGCCGCCGCCGCCTCCGCCTCCGCCTTCTTGGCGGCGGCGGCCGCCGCCTTCTTGGCCGCCTTGGCCGCCGCGGCCGCGGCCGCCTCCGCCTTGACCCTCGCCTGCTCCTCTCGCCAAGCGTCGTGCTCGCCCGCAAACTCGGGCCTGACCTCGCCGCCGAAGCGCTCCACCACCGTCTCGACGAGGTGCGGGACGAGGTCCTCGATCGGGATGCCCTCGGGCTCCGCCTCGAGCTGCAGCTCGCCGTGCTCGCCGATGGTGCCGCCGAGGAAGACCTTGACGCCCGGCACCGCCTTGAGCTTGCCCGTCTCCGGGTCGGCCTTCTTGGCCGGCCCGCCCATCAGGCCGATGTCGGCGGCCTGCACCTGGCCGCACGAGTTCGGGCAGCCCGTCCAGTGAAAAAATGTGGGGAGATGCGGGGAGATATCGGGAGATAGACCTGGCCGCACGAGTTCGGGCAGCCCGTCCAGTGGATGCGCACGTCGCGAGAGACGTCGACGCGCTGCTGCACCTCCTTGGCGATCGCCTCGGCGTTGTTCTTCGTCTCGATCATCGCGAGCCCGCAGAACTGCGCGCCGGTGCAGCTCACCAGGTTGCCGACGATGTTGCCCGGAGAGACGCGCAGCCGCGAGTCGCCGTGCAGGGCCGGCTCGGCGAGGAGGGCGGGCACGTCCTCCTCCTTGACGTTTGGCAGGATCACGTTCTGCTCGACCGTCAGCCGGATCTCGCCATCGGGCACGTACTTGTCGGCCAAGTCGGCGATGGCGCGCGCCTCTGCCACCGACAGCCGGCCGACGGGCACGTGGATGCCCACGCGCTTGAGCCCCTCCTGCGGCTGCGGGTGCACGCCGAGGTAGGCGGTGCCGGGCGCCGCCGCCCGCTCGAATGGCTCCGTCGGCCGCGGCTGCTGCACGTCGCACTTCGCCTCGAGCCCGCGCCCGTACGAGCGCATCTCGTCGATGATCTTTTGGCGGTACGCCGGGTGGCAGCGCGGGTGGCCGTCGACCTCGGCCACCTCGCCGTAGCTCTCGACGAGCCACATGAGCCGCCCCTTCTGCCGGTCCTTGCGGTCGCCCTCGTCGCGGAAGACGCGCAGAATCGCCGTCGTCAGCTCGACGGCCGTGGCCACGTCGGCCGGCATCCACAGGTCCATGTCGACCGACTCGGCGACCCGCTTGGTCGACATGTAGCCGCCCAGCACGATGTTGAAGCCGACCTCGCCGCTCGTGGCGTGGACGCAGGGCTGGAAGCCGATGTCGTTGATGTGCGTGTGCGCAAAGTCGTCCCTGCTGCCCGAGACGGCGACGTTGAACTTGCGGGGCATGTTGCTCCAGACCGGGTTGCCCCGCTCGCCCGTCTCCTGGTTGAGCGTGATCAGGTCGTTGAGCGCCTCGCAAAACGGGCGCGTGTCCACCTATGAGCGAGTTCGCTGGTCATTCATTGACAGTTGATGGAAGGACGCGGCAGGAGCGGCGCGTGTCCCACCATCTCGAGGCAGTCGATGCCCGCGAGCGGCGAGCCGACCATGTTGCGCACGTTGTCGAGCGCCGAGTGGAAGGACGTCTGCCCGCGCGCGTGCAGGCCGTCGATGATCTCGTCCGCCTGCTCGAGCTGCACACCGCGCAGCTGGATGTTTTGCCGCGTCGTGATGTCGATCACGCCGAGGTCGGGCCCGTGCGGCTCGACGCTGTCCGCGTAGAAGCGGAACGAGTCGGCGTTCGTCACCCCGTTGGGCAGCCGCAGCCGCATCATGAAGCGGCCGGGCGTCCGCTTGTCGCGGTGCACCAGCCCGACCCACTTGAGCCGCGTGTTCATGTCCATCTTCTCGACGTCCTCCCAGTCCATCTCGCCCGCGCGCACGGCAGCGGCGAAGGTGTAGACGTCGTTGAAGGCGGCCGTCGCGTCCTTGGCCAGCTTGGCCTTCTCGATCGGGTTGCCGTCCTCGGCGCGCACAACCGTCTCCTCGGGAAGGAACGAGGTGCCCGTGGGCCCGCTCCAGGTCGGACCCGGAGGCCCGACGGAGAAGGGCGTGCCGATGGGCGAGATCGAGGCGGGCGCGGAATCAGCCGCCGAGGCGGGCGCGGAGGCAGCCGGTGCGGAGGCAGCCGGTGCGGAGGCAGCCGGTGCGGAGGCAGCCGGTGCGGAGGCAGCCGGTGCGGAGGCAGCCGGTGCGGAGGCAGCCGGAGTGGCAGCAGCGCCGTCGTCGAGGTCTGCCCACACAAAGCCCGCTGGCGGTGGCGTCTCAACGATCGCGAGCCGGACGGCGCTCCGCACGGGCGGCGGCGCGACGCGCGACGCCGGCGACGAGACGTGGATAACGCCGGCCGCCGCGCCGAGAAGGGGCAACATATCCGCGTCGAAGGCCCTCGACGGAGGACCTGAACGTCGGCGAACGTCGCCGAGGTCGGAACGTGAATTCTTTTGCTGCCCATCTGCTGGACACGAATCGTTCGCCAAGCTGCTCCGCAAGGTTAAAATTGGAAAATTGGTGGGTGCGGAGAGCAACCACTACACTGTGGGGTGTGCCCGAGCATGATGTATGTGCGCGTCTGTGTGTGTGTGGGACAGACGTTGTTGTCCTATGCGCGGGGCTTCCCGCGGGGACCGAAGACGTAACAGCAGCAGCAGCAGCAGCAGCAGCAGCAATTGGTGGGTGCGGGTATGGGGAGGGGGCACTGCGGCACTCCGCCTTTTGTTTTTTCAGGAGGAGTCAAAAGATGGCTCCTCACCACTTATTCGAACCAGAATCGCCCGGTGCTCAGGCGGTGTCATTCCGAGGCGAGCGTCTCAACCCTTCCAAGCTTCGATAAGTCAGATGCTCGCCGCGCTCCTTGTCGGCCTGTCGGTCCAGGCGTCCACCACCTCAGTCATCGAGGCTCAGCGCGTCTCCTTCCGCGTCTCTGGCGACGTCTCGGCGAAGTTTGGCCGCAGCGGCGCGGTCGCCTTGCGCTCAGTCATCCCGGCGCCGTCGGCACCGCTGCAGCGCCTCGGCTGCCCGTGCACCCTTGAGGAGTTTGCGACGACGGCGCGAGAGTGTCGCTTCGCCGCTTCGCTCGCCTGCGCGCTCCTCCGCTGCGACGCCGTCTGCGACCCGGTTGGGGAGTGGGGCGCCGGCTTCACGCACGCGCACGACCACTATGCCTATGCCCACCTCTTGGAGGAGCCGAAGCGAAGCTGCGTCGTGGTGCTCCCGCGCGAGCCGGTGACGCTCACCCTGCGAGGCCACCCCGCCACCATCGTGGCGCCGACGCCGTACTCGTCGTCGTCGCACGTCGCCTTTTTCGACTCGGTGGACGGCGCAGTCGAGGCCTGCGGCTCGACCGCCCAGGCGCCGCCGCCGGAGCCGGAGATCTGCCTCGACGCGGGCGACGCGCTGGTGCTCCGCGGCGACCTGACCGAGCCGCCCGGAGGCCTGGGCGGAGGCAGCCTGGTCTACCATTTCCGCGCGTGCGGGGCGAGAGACCGGGCGGTGCTGTTTGTGTCGCCGGCGCTCGAGGCGCGGGCCAGGCTAGCCGGGCCGGGCGGCGCGAGCGGAGAGGGAGGGCCGTCCTAGCGGAGAGTGTCGGCCCCGCCCGCCGCGTCATCGCGGCACGCTGCGGTTGTGTGAGAGACCCGTGTGAGGCAATGTGCACAAGCCCGGCGCGTCGGCGCCGGAGCTTGCTCGTCTGATGTGTGTGAGCAAGCGTGAGAGTTAAACCGCGCCCCGCAGCTCTGAGAAAACCTGGACGGTAGCCGACCAGGCCTGTTCGTTGTTGCCTCTGCGCTCGAGCGTCGAGCCTCGACCAGGGGTGCGCGGGTGAGGGGTGTGCGGGGTGCGGGTGGCGGCCCCACCGCAACCCCCGGCGCCCCGGCCGCCCCGGCCCCCATCCCCCGCCCCAACGACACGAGCAACGTGCAACGACACTCGTAGGGGTAAAGGATCAACACCCTTCAGAAAGAAAGAAAGAAAACAGACAACCCAAGGGAGGGATGGGAGGACGGTACGCCGCCACCACACAGGGATTTTAGGGGAGAAGTGTGGTGTTAGCTGTTAGCCGTCGCCCACCCTCGGGCGTCTACCCTTCAAGTCAACTCTCCCTCAAGACGACACTCTCTTTTACGAGGCCTAACAGCTTGGGCACTTGGAGCACTTGGAGTGCGCAGTCGGCAACCTCACACCCAGGGCCGGGGATTAGGAAGCGCTAATAAATAAATAAATACAACGGACACGCCAAACGAGGGGTGGGAGAAGGACAGGGCTACGGGCGGATTGGGAGTCCCGACGATTTCTTTTAATTAAACATCGGGAAGGAAGGCGAAGGGCGAAGGACCGCCACGGGCTTCCTCGAGGCCGCCTCGGCGCCACGCCCCAGCCTCAATGGCTCCCTCCCGGCGCCGCGCCGGCCGCCTCCGGCCCTTGCTCGACAAGCTCTTCGTCGCGTTCGAGGCTGCGCCCTGGCTCGTCCAGGCGCTGCTCTATTTGTGCACCGCTCCGCTGCTCGAGGCTCTCTTCTACCTTCACACGGCCTCGTGGCGAGAGTGGCGGTCGAGCGCACCACACAACACGCACGAGCGCGCCGATACCGCCGCGGTGCTCGCCTTCTACGACCGGATCCTTGCCGAGGAAGACGCCGACGGCCTCAAGTTATTTCTGCACGGCTGGTTTCTCGAGCAGCCTGCCTCGCCGTGGCAGGAGCCTCGCTACGGAAACATCCGCGAATTTGTCGCGTGGACCCTCTACGGCGACGCGGGCGAGCGGAAGCCAAAGCAGACCTCCACCGTCGACCGAGTGATGAACCAGATCGAGGTGGTGCTTGGGCCACTGCCTGCCGGCCGGGCGGAGCGGCTGGTGGCGATGACATACACCCGCGAGCCGCTCGGACGCTGCCACCGGCCTCTGGTGTGATCGCGCGCATGCCCTCGTCCCACTCCGCCCAGCAGCAGCGCGCCACACCCTCCTCCCTCCTCCTTGCCAGGCCGTCTACCTCTGCTGCTTCGCAGCGCACGGCGCCATCCGGCGGATGTTGCAGCTGCTCGGCTTCAGCTCGCGCTCCGTGGGGAGGCTGCGCTACCTCCACCGGCCCGACCGGCGCGGCGGCGGCGCCACCAGCGCGCCGCTCGTCTTCCTTCACGGCATCGGCGGGCTGCTGCCTTACCCGCTGCTGCTGCTGCAGCTGGCCTCTCGGTGGGAGGGGCCGGTGCTGCTGCCGCTCCTGCCGCACGGTGCGCCGCCGCCCGCCACGCCAGGCGCGGAGGCGGCTCCGTCTCACTCGTCCGCGTCCGCCTCGCAGGCGCTCTCGACCGGCTTCCAACCTCCCGCTGCGTCGCGAGGGCGATGCGGATGCCCGAGCTCGTCGGTGCCGTCGAGGTGATGGTGCGCCGGCACGCGCTGAACGGGAGGGCGCCGAGCGCCGCGTTCATGTCGCACTCGCTTGGGACGGGTCCTCCGCAGCTCCGAGGAACGGCGGCGGCACGGCCCGCGCTCTCCTCACCGTGTGGGTGTGTCATGTTAGGCTATCACGCCGCTGTCGCGACTCGCGCGCCCGGCTTGGTCGCTGCGTCGCTCTTCGCGGACCCGATCTGCTTCCTGCTGCACGAGAGGGACGTGCTGCACAACTTCTTGTACGAGGCGCGCGCCTCCCTCCCCTAGAGCGAGCCCGGCTCCGACACCAGCCGCCTCCAACTCCGTGTAGCTTCTCTCACGCCCACGCCTCGCCTCCTCCGCCGCAGGTCGCCCCCCTCCGCCCAGCAACCTGGTTCCACTGGCTGCAGCGGGTCGCCGTCGCCTCCGACCCGACCGTACAGAACTGCTTGCGGCGCGAGTTTTGGTGGTCGCAGCACTGGCTCCACCCCGCGTCGCTGCCTTCGCCGACCGCCGTGCACCTCTCCGCGGCCGACACCGTCTGCAACCCCCGCCGCGTGCAAGAGCACCTGCTCCGGCACGGCGGGGCGCAGGCCGGGCTCGATTCGCCGCTCGAGGTGGAGCTGAGCCGCGGCATGTTCACCGTGCACGGGTGGCTGTGCGTCGCTCCGGCGGCGCAGCGCCGGGCCATCGCAGACTTGGGCCGGCTCCTCGCCCGCGGCCTGGCGCAGCGGGCCGCGGGTCGCAAGGGCGCGGGCGAGGGGGACCGCACAGCGGATGGCTCGCACCTCGCTCTCGCGGTGCGGCACCGTGGCGCGAGGGCGAGTGGGCAAGCCGTGCCTCTTGAGCCTCTAGGCGACACCGACTCTGTGAGCTCGTCGGGCGAGTCGGACGGATGCGGCGAGTAGGCCTTGCTCTGCCGCGCCGTGCCGCTTGCGCCTTCTGAGGGGACTTGGTTTGTGTGTAGGCGGGCGTGGTGTGCGCTCGGTCACTCGCACGCCGTCCACGGGCGCGGTGCTGAGTGCGTGAGGGCGCGTGCGGCGGGCGGGCGAGGGAGAGCGCGGCTGCAGCTTGCGCCGTCGCAAGCTTCGGGGTTCATTGGTTGCATGGGGAATTGAGGGTGGCGGTTGCATGGGTGGCGGGTGGCGGTTGCATGGGGTGACGGGTGGGTTGCATGGGTGACGGGTGGGGAACCATGATGCATGTGATTGTGATCCGGTCTCAGCTCGAATGAAGCTGCAGATGGCGGTTTGGTGAGATGTGTGTTGTGCATGTCTGCATGATGCAGCATGTGTGCCATGTCCATCACTTGAACTCACTTGTCACATGGACTCATGTGGGCGGCGTTGTCTCGCGAAAAAAGACATGCCCGAGAGAATCTTGATCCACGTCCGCTATCTAACACACCTGGCCCTGGGCAGTGGCCAGTGGCAGTGCCACAGTGCGCAGTGGGCTGCGCGGGAGACAGCGGTGCGACCGGACGCGGACCCGCCGGATCCGCCGGCCTCGTGCTCTCATCCCCGGGCGACCCCCCACCGGTCCCCAAAGGCGTCGATCGCGCCGTTCATCATCTTGATGAAGGTCAGCGTCGACGGCTTTGCGCTCCGTGGCGGCTCCGGCAGTCGTGGCGGGTAGCGGCTCATGAAGTGGCGCTTGGACCAGCTGAAGTCCTGGGCCTGCGATGACGGGGTAGCGAGAGAGGGGTTGAGGCCGGGGGGCGGGTTGTTGATCTGGCCGGGGCTAGCGAGATGTGTACGCGGGCTGGGGGCCGCCCCCTCGGGCCAGGGAGGCGGCGCGCCCTCTGGTCGAGGTCAAAGGTGTAGTGGTAGATGTCGTGGTCGTCCAGGTTGTAGATGCCCGCGCCGCCCGGCTCCGCCTGGAAGGTCTTGTGCACCTGGACGCATCGGGGGGGCGCTAGTGCTTGGCCCAAGGCTGGCGCCAGGGCCATGGCTTTCGGGTCAAGCTTCTCAAGGTCAGAGTGAAGGTCAGAGTGAAGAGTGAAGTATGGGGTCAGGGCCAGAGGGCTAGGGGCGAGGAAAGTCTAGGTGCGCCTGGTGCCGCACGCCCGTGCGCGCCGCGGCGAGGGTGTACGCCCACATCTCGAGCACCCACCCGAGCGCCTGGTCCGCCTCGCGGTCCCGCTTGAGCTCGAGGCAGAGCCTGCGCAGGAAGGTTCCGAGAAGGCTCCGGGCGGCGCCTTCACCACGGCTCGCTCAGCCGCCGCTCTCGGCCCCTCTCTGCGACCTCTCGGCTACCGCTCGCCTCCACCACGGTTCGATCAGGCCTCGCAGCTGCGCCTGGGGCAGACGCCGCGGGCTGTGTCGCGGACGTGTCGCGGACGTGTCGCCTGCAACGGGCGCGCCGGGGCTAGCGCACCTTGTGCACAATCAGCGGGGACGGGCCGACGGGGTCGACGTCGTCCGGGTCGTGCCACCGCCGGATCACCGGCCCGAGCTTGCGCGCGTCGTACTTGTACGTCATGTAGTAGAAGCCGAACGCCACCGGCGACGCCTCGGTCGCGCGGTTGCGGGGCGGCCGCAGCAGCAGGTGGTCTGTCTCGATCACGAAGAGGTAGTCCTCGGCGAGGGAGGCCGCCTCCTTGGAGGCGAAGTACTGCCGGAGCGACCACGGCCGGTTCATCACCTACACGGGCACGGCTCCGAGAAGCTTCTCGGAAGGGTCCGAGGGTCCGAGTTCAGCTCCTCCACCGCCGCTCGTCACCACAAAGCCGTGCGAGCACTCGTCGCACCGCCCCGCGCCCAGCTGCTTGGTCAGCACCGTCGGGATCTCGCCCATCAGCCCGTCCGGCCGCCCGTCCGGCGTGGACAGCAGCCGCGTGAAGCCGCCTGCAGGAAGGTTCCGAGACGCTTCCGGGAAGGCTCCGCCTGGCAGCGGACGTGGCCGCGCGACGCCGCCGAGGTCGCTGCACGGCTGCGCCGCCTTGAGCTGGCGGTAGTAGTGGTATGCGATCCGCGTCTGCCACTCCTGGTACGTGCCCGACGCGGCGGTCAGCAGCACGTGGTACGGCCGCCGCTCGGCGCCGCAAGCCGGAGGCGGCGGCGACGCGGCGGCGGCGGCCGCCGCGGGCTGACTCCTCCCTGTGGCTGCGGAGGAGTTTGACGCTGGAGCTTGGGCGGCCGCCGCTGAGCCTGGCGAAGCGGCCGACTGCCTCGCACCCAAGGCAGCGTCCGAGCCAGGAGTCTGCGAGGCGGCGGTGGATTCGGCGGCGCTGGCAGTGGCGGCGGCGGCGGCCCGCTGCCCACGTCGGTCGCGCTGGTTCGCCGGCCGGCGTGCGGCCGACTGCTCGAGCGGGTGCGCCAGAGTGATGGCGAGCTCGTGGAGGTGTGAGACGGCTGCGACGAGCAGCAGCACGCCGAGAGCGATCAGGGCTCTCGATGCGAGCTTCTTTGACACAGGCGGTCGAGACTCCAGCGAGCTGGCCTTCTGTGGCGCGGGCGCCAGCATTGCGAATGTTAGGGCGGACACGCGGGTAGCGCGGCGAGCGGCGAGCGGCGAGTAGCGGGAGCGGCGAGCGGCGAGTAGCGGGAGCGGCGAGCGCTGAAAGCTCAACTTTTCCGAAGGTCTTTTTCATTTTCTTTTCCCTCCGTCTCCCCTTCTCGGCGAGGGGCGTTGGAGGCCGCAGCCTCTGCTTTTTTGTTTTCGGGCAAAGGGAGGGAAGAGGGCCATCGCTTTCTTTGTCTGCGGAGTCCTGCTCTGGTCGATGCGGAGAGGTGTCCAGCATTAATTGTCGCTCGAGAAAGAAAAGATAAACGCGCGTGAGTCACTGCACATCGCCAGACCCGACGCACAGCTCTCTCCTCGACCACAGCCGCTCTCCCCGCATCTGCCCGCCAGCTGCCTCGTGCTGGAGATGCTTAGCCTCCTCACCGTGACGGCACTGGCGCTGTCGTCGCCTGTCCGGCCAGGCGGAAGAACAGGAGCTCGTGCTGCGGCGGCACGGCGCCCTGGCGGCGCTGTGCTGCTGAGCGAGGAGGCGGGCGATGCGGACGCAGCCTTGGCGGCCGCCGAGAGAGAGCTCCAAATCGCGCTGGCCGAGGCCGCCGCTGCGCGCGAGGCGGCGTCGGCACGGAAGGAGACGGCGGCGAGGGCGGCCGCGGAGGAGGAGGCGCCGCACGCGAGGCTGGTGCTGGTCCGCCACGGACAGAGCGAGTGGAACCTGGCGAACCGTTTCACCGGCTGGGTGGACGTCGACCTGACGGAGCAGGGCATCCTCGAGGCGCGCGAGGCTGGCCGTCTGCTCGCGGCCGCCGGGCTCGAGATTGACGAGGTGCACACCTCGCTGATGCGGAGAGCCATCCGGTCGGCGGTGCTGATGCTCTCGACGCTCAACCAGTGCTGGCTGCCGGTGCGGAAGCACCTCGAGCTCAACGAGCAGCACGCCGGCCTGCTGACGGGCGAGAACAAGGTCTCGTGCGCCCAAAAGTGGGGCGTCGATCAGGTGATGGCGTGGCGGCGCAACTTTGAGGACCCTCCTCCCGAGATAGCCGCCGACTCGGCGATCCAGCGCGCCATCGCCACCGACAGGAGGTGCGGCGCCGCCGCGTCGAGCCCCAGCCCTACCCTACACCCTGAACCAAAAGACCCAGACCCAGATGATCCCCAACCCTGACCCCAACCCCACGACCCTAGACCCAACCCCAACCCCGACCCTATCCCCAACCCCACGACCCTACACCCAACCCCAACCCCGACCTTGACGAGGTACGACGCCGCGCGGGTGCCGTCGCGCGAGTGCCTCTCCGCCGTCTCCCGGCGCGTGGCCGGCCTGTGGGAGGGCACCATCGCGCCGGCGCTGCAGGAGGGGAGGACGGTCCTCGTCGTGACGCACGGAAACACGCTTCGCGCCCTCGTCGCGTACCTAGACGGCCTCGCGCCCGAGGACGTGTACCACGTCGACCTGCCGACGGCGACGCCGCTGCTGTACGAGTTTGACGCGGACGGCGCGGGCGCGGAGGCGCCCGTGGCGGGGCTGCGCCACGCGAGGGAGCACGGCGTGTGGGGCGAGCGGGAGGGGGCGGCGCGGCACGGCCGCTTCCTGGTGTGCGCTGTCCTCGCGAGCGCGAAGCGGCGAGGAGAGCTGCGCCACTCACGGGGGTGTGTGGCGGGGTGACGACTAGGTGGACGAGTCGCGCGTGCGGGCGGCGCAGCAGGCGATGCGGCAGCAGGTGCTGCAGGACATCGCGTACTCGATGGTGCGAGAGCGACCGCCGAGAGGGCGGCGAGGTGGACGGACCCTTCCGAGACACTTCCTTCGACCCTTCCCTGAAGGTGACTGCGCCCACCGAGGACGGCGAGATCAAGACCGCCTTCACCGCGCCCGAGGCGCGGCAGCGGCTCTCGATGATCGAGGGCGAGGGGTACACGGTGCGGCAGACGCCGCCGGCATACTTCTTCCAGGAGTCCGAGCGGCTCGAGGAGCAGGAAGCTGCCTCCCCACCCCGACCGCCGCTGCCCTGCCCGACGGCCTCCTGCCCGAGGGCCTCCCCGGAGGGGGGAGGCCCCCCCCCCTTCCCTGTCCCCGACCCCCCCCCTGCCCCCCTCCCTCCAGGCGTGGCTCGCCCTCGACGAGATGGACCTGCAGTGGACGCCGGTGCAAAACACGTGGAGGCTCAACGAGCGAAACTACGGCGAGCTGCAGGGCCGAGTCAAGGCGGGCGGCGTCGAGGCGCTGCTTTGCGTCTCCTGGACACGCCCGTGACACGTCCCTGGCATGTCCCGCAGGCCGATTGCGTCAAGGCGCACGGGCTGAAGCAGGTGCAGCGCTGGCGGCGCGGCTTCAGCGACCGGCCTCCGCCCTGGAGCGACGCGACTCTGGTCGAGACGATCGACCGGCGGTACGACCTCTACCGCGGCGGCGACTTCCCCCCGCGCTCCGAGTCGCTCGAGGACTGCCAGCAGCGGCTGAGGCCCTTTCTGTACGGCGAGCTGGGCGAGAGCATGCGCGCGGCGGGGGAGGTTCGGGGGGGCATGTCCAAGCGACACGTCCCTGACAGGCCCAGTGTGACTCGGCCTCTCAGGCGTGCGGCGGTGGACGCGGCGCTCGCCGACGCGGAGGCGGGCGGGGGCGAGTACGAGGTCCCGACGGTGCTGGTCGTGGCGTCGGAGAATGTGCTGCGCGGGCTGGTGATGGAGATCGAGGGGATGACCCAGGCGCGAGCCCCAGCGCGGGCCTTGCGCGAGGCGAGAAGCCCGACCCCCTCTGCCGCCCCCTCCCTCGCCGCGCAGGAGCAGATCCCGCTCGTCGACGTGCCGTACGCCGTCCCGCTCGTCTACCAGCTCGATTCGGCGCTGACGCCCGTCGCCACGCCGTGGGCCGAGCCGCCGCTTCGGGCGGGGTGGTACTTGGGGGACCCGACCAAGGTGCGCGCCGTGCAAGCCGAGATCCAGGCCGACCTCGCCGTGGAGGACGCCGACGACGAGGAGGAGGCTTGCCTCGTCGAGAGCTTTGACGACGAGCGCGGCGAGAGCGTCCGGGAGTGGCGCTGCAGCTGACATGGCGGGGGGGGGCGTTGCGATTGTGCGATCGTGTTGGCGCCTTGTAGCCTGCTTGTAGCATGGGCGGCAGTCCGTCACAGCCGAAAAAGTACGGGAATCGCTGTGTCGGTGTAGCGTAAGGTCATCTCATACTCTGTTGGTGATGTAAACACACTGCCGCTTGATATCGGTCCCGCCATTGTAGGGGCCCATGCACAAAATGCATAGGAGGAGCCATGGCATGCGCCGCATCGCGCTGAGAAGTTCTGTATATACGTGTTATCCAAAACAACCAGACCTAGAACCAGGAGCAGGACAAGTTTGGGCTAATATCGTGCGCGGATAAGGCGCGCGCGCCGCGGTGGGCGGTGGCGGTGAGATAGTGTTAATGTTTGGGAACACACACACACACACACACACACACACACACACACACACACACACACACACACACACACACACACACACACATACTCTCCCCGCCTGAGGCGCCGTCGCGGGCACTTGCTTGACCGTCGACACCAGAGAACCAAAGCACAAAGCACCCAAGCCGCCCCGCAAACCGCGGCGCGCAAACGGGCCGGGCCGCCCGCCAATGGGCAAGGGAGGCCTTCTCCAGCGCGCCACCTACTTTGGCGACACAAAGCTCACGGCGGACGAGGTCATCTTCCTCGTCATCGCCGCGCTCACCGTCGTCCTCGCGCTCGCCTTTTTGGTTCAGAGTCTGCGCGAGAGCGGTTTGAAGGGCCGCCGCCGCCGAGGGCACAGGGCGCGGACGGCGCCAGGCACCATCAGCCGCTCCGCCTCCATCACGCCGATGCCCAACCGCCGCCACTCCCGCACCACGCCGCCGACCAAGCCGGCGCTCTCGCGCCGCAACTCGTGGGGCGACCCGGCCTCGATCCGTTCGTCTGGCTCCGAGGAGAGCGTCGATCCGCCGCCGCTGCGGCGGAGCCTCTCCTGGTCCGACGAGACGGGCCAGCCGCTCGCGCGCGCCGCGGAGGCGGGCAAGGACCCGCAAAACTGGCCCGAGTTTCGCGAGCGGCGCGACCTCGCCGCAACCGACCGCGAGTCGTTTGGGCGGCGGCGCGTGCCGGCGTCGAAGCGGGTGAGCAGCAGCAGCGCCCCCGCCCCTCCGTCGCTCACGCGCCGCCACTCGTGGGAAGGGTCCTCGCCTCCAGGATCGCATGCAGGGCCGGCGCAGCCGTCGGCGGCGCTGTGGGCGCCGAGGGCGGTCGGCATGCAGACAGCGCCGCCCTTGCCCGCCGCTGCAGACTGGCCCAAGCCGCCGCGGCCGGTGCGGCAGGGCTCGACCGAGCAGCTGGACCGGCTGCCGGTCGGGCTGGGAGGGTGGCGAGGCAACGGCGCCGCCGGGAGAGATGACGACGCCGCCAGCGACACAAACGCGACCACCGCCGCCCTCGCCGCCGGCGCCGCCGCCATCCTGGCCGGCGCCGCCGCAGCCGACGCCGAGGCGGAGAGGAGCGCCGCGCATGTGCCGGCGCCGGCCCGCCCTCCTCCCGACGGCGGCGTTGGCCCTCGCGGCGGCGACGGCGGGCGGTTTGGCGGCGCTGCCAACGGGGGTGGCGGCGCTGCGGCTGACTTGCGCGGGGCCGGGGGCGGCGCCTCGTGCGGCGGCTCGATGCGTGGCCCGACGGACGTGGCGCGCGAGGAGCGGAGTAGGGAGCGGCAGCAGCACCACTACGCCAGAGAGGCTGTCGCGAGCGGCCCGCCTGCGACCTCGGAGACCTCGGCGCAGATCGGGGCGCGCGATGACGACGCGCCCGGGGCGTGGGCATGGGCGGAGAGGTCCGCTCGGCTAGCGGCGGACGACGGGTCGAGGATCGGGGACGCCGGCAACAACGGGGGGCGGATGGCGGAGTGGCTGCAGCTCGACTAAGCTCGGGCGGCTGAGCGTTTTGCCACACTGCACGCTGAGAGGGGGGAGGTGGGGCCCACAGAGTGTTGGGCCTGTTCGCTGATCCGCGCGCGGCTATATAGCGCGGCGCGTTCACCCCCTGTGGTGCACACGCTCTGCCTGACGCTCTGCGAGACCGTGCGAGGGGTGTGGCGCGACGGGTTGTGTCGAGCCCCGATCACGAGAAGGTGGTTGTGGCCGGCGCTGCCTCCGCTGGGCGCGCGGGTGGAGTTCTCCGAATCGCAGGTGGTCAGAGTTTTGGAGAAACTTTTTGAAGAGAGACGATAACAGATGCTTGAGTATGTATCAACTGGATAGACACAGCGGTCCTATGCGCGGTGTGCAACGTTGTGCGCGCCGCCGGCGGCGCCCGGCGGCGCCACACCCACAGGCACACGCACGGGCAGGCTCACACGCGCGTGCCGCGCGCCGCGCGTCACAAAACACGATTTCACTCATCACAAAACTCTAAATGTCTCATCGCCGAGGGCTGGTTCTCGCACCCGGAGCGGCTCGGCCTCTGGTCTCCACCGCCGGCCAGCAGAAGTCACACTCTGGCGCGACGAGCTCAACGAGGGTGTCGACGAGCGACGAGACCGCCAGCGCCGGCCTCGAGCACTCGGTGGCGAGGGAGTCGAGCCACCTGAGTGCCGAAGAGTCGAGCCACGCCAGCGAGGCGAGCATTCCCTGCGGCCGGCGGGCGGCGAGCGCGTCGCCGACGTTGTGCAAGCCGACGGCGCCGGCCTCGCCGACGGAGGAGGAGGAGATGGCGGAGACCGTGGCGTGGAAGTCGGCGCACGCCTCCGCGAGCACCTTTGGAAAGTCCATCGGCGAGCGAGGCGCCTCAGCCCAGCAGCGGTACACGTGGCAGACGAGGTCGGCGTGGAGCGACTGGAGCGGGCCAAAGCCGCCTCGCGAGAGGACCTCGAAGAGGGCGCGCTCGGTGCAGCGGTGGCGCTGGTGCACGGGCGAGGCGACGCGCGGGTTGACGCCAAAGTACGACTGCAGGAAGCCGGTCACGTTGATGGAGGCGACCGCCAGAGGGAAGCCGGCGAGCGCCACCTCCTCCCAGGCGCTCTCGGTGACGGGAGGCCACTTGCCGGACGAGAGGAGCGCGACGAGGTGCGACAGGCCCATCACGCCGGCGCCACGAAAGTCGGTGGTCGGGTCGTCGCCTTGGAAGCCGAGCCGCGTCCACAGCGGCGACCGCCAGGCCTTGGCGGCCTCTCCTCCGGCGCCGCTGCCGGGACCCACGCCGCCGCCCAAGCTGCTACCGGCGGCCCCGAAGGAGTAGCGGGACGGCACGTACCTCGAGAGCTGCTCGAGGAGGAGCGCGTGGCTGCTCGGGTCGAACTCGAGAGTGGCGGCGGCACGCATCCGAGCGTACGTGTTCATCTGGCGCTCGCGGAAGCCGGTGAAGTCGCTGCGGGAGGAGCTTGGCTTGCGGCGGAGAGGGCCAGGGTGACCGAGCGGAAGGAGGGAGGCACGCGGGACGACGACGGTGGGCATGACCGCTGCTGGCCTCCACAACTGGGCAGCTGCTGGGCCTCCAGTGCTTCGCTATCTCCAACGCTGAGGACCAAGGCACCAGGCAGGAAGCAGAAGCAGGGCACCAAGGATGACACCTTTGTATCGAAACGTCGGCTTCAGAATGCAAGCACGAGAGAGAGAATTCTTAAGATACAAGCCTCTCTCACAGCACCCTGGCACGACAAGGGCGCGGACTGGCGCGGACTGGCACACACACAGGCTCACCACCGGAGCCGCCTAAGAGAGAGAGAAAATAAGAAACCGCCCCCGCGAGCGTGGAATAGGACCGCCGCAAGCGGCGTGGCGTGGAGCGGTTGAGCATCCCTCCGGGGGCCCCTCTGCGCCGGGGAGGCGTTGTTGGCGGCTAGGACGCAAGCGTCCGTCGCCGTTTTCAAACTCGGGGCCCACTCCGCTACGCTCCGACCCGAATTTGGAGGGCCATGAAGTTTAAGGTGTTGCTGCGCAAAAGGGGCGGGGCGCGGGCGCGCGCGGCGGCAGGCGTCGAGCGCGGAGCGGCAAACACAATGACGTCGGAAAGCTCTGCATCAAGTATACAGTAGGCGCCAGGACGCGTGTGAGCACGTCGACGTCGAGCTCGAGCTGCTTGAGGGCGGAGAGATACGCCTGGGAGGGCGGTGAGGTGGCGGGGCTGGGCTGGGCGCGAGGCGAGAGGAAGGGGGAATGGGGAGGGGGGGAGGGGAGGAGGAGAGGGGAGGGGGAGGGGAGGAGGGGAGGAGGGAGGGGAGAGGAGAGGCGGGCGGAGTGAGGAGTGAGTAATGGGTCGGGAGGAGTGAGGCAGGGGAGTCGAGGCGGGAGGCGGGAGGGAAGGCGGGCGGGGAGGCGGGAGGGGAGAGGTTCCGCTCACCAGCCTCTCTGCGAGCACCGCCTGCTCCTGCGCCTCGCGCGCAATCACCCTCTCGTGCGCGACCGCCGTCTCAAACTTCTCGCGCGCCTGCGCCTCCAGGAGGGCCGCCGCCTGCTGCAGCTGCGTCGAGTGCTCCGCGCTCAGCTGCTGCAGCTGCGCTGAGTGCGCCTCCGCCGCCGCCGCCTGCTCCTCGACCTTTCCCTCCAGCTCGGACGCCGCGGTGGGAGCCGGCGGCGCGCCGTCGCAGCGCGCCGGGGCCGACGGCGAGAGCCTGTGGAGGAGCCGGTGGAGCAGTCGAGACTGCTGACCGCTCCTCCATGGTCCCCCGCCGGTGGACGCCGAGTGCAGTCATCGGTATGCGGGAGGCGTGCTCAAGGGCTGGCGGGGCGGACGCGACGACCTGGCGTTGCCGTCGCGGAGGGCTCGGGCTCGAGTGAGCGCCGCCGGCGACGCGTCGTTGCGGCCGTGGCCGCGCGGGCCACCTGCATCGACGGGCTGCTTAGGGGGGGGGGGGGGGGCGCCAATGAGACGCTTGCCCGTCGGCAAATCCATCCGTGTTGGCACCAGCTGAAGGCTTGCTTCTTCTACCCCCGCGACCCCACGAACGAATGTGACAGGACCATCGGGTCCTTCAGCCACCAAAGCGAGATAACCCGAGAGCAGCTGAGCCTGCCTCTGGCCTCGCCTCCCTCTCCTTCAGGCATTCGTGGCATCCGATGGGTCGCCCAGAGTATCGACCTCTGGCTTGTCAGCCGCGGTCACTTGATGACCCCCTTGAAGTACAGCGATCGCCACCTCGCTGGCCTCTCCGCAGGCCCCCCCGACCGCGTCGAACTCATCGGCGCGGGCTCTCTCGGCTACGGGACCGGCCCCAGCTTCGGCTGAGGGCTAACAAGCTGCCGAGCCCAAATCACTGTGAGAGTCGTGATTTCTTGTTGGTGGATAAAAATCTCTCTCTCTGACATCACGCAGTTCGTGCACGGTATTCGGATTTTGCTATTTGCTCGTGTGGGGGTATATCGCAGATTTGTCAATGGTACCGCGTCTGCGACGCGGGCGCCTTGCGGGCAGAGCCCTTAGCCACCCTTTTATCTTGCGCGGTCAAAATAGAAAAAATCATTCACCCCTGTGTCAGTGTGCCTGTGGTTGCGAGAGACTGCCAGTGAGAAGCTGGAGGTAGGTCGCTAGAAAATCGGGAGATGACCGCGCGACCACGTGGCGTCGGGAAACGCAGTGGTGCCCGCACGTGATCGGCTCGGCCATGCACACGACGCACATGAGTAGTTCAGCCTCGCCCACTGCCATTGCCGCCGTCTGAGCAGCGGCCGCCGGCGCCTCGGCAACCTCAAGCGCTGCGAGGCGAGGCGCCGAGCGCCGACAGCTCCTCGTCCAAGGCGTCGATCTCGCCCGCGCGAGGCGCTGCAGCGCGGAGCTCCGACACTGCCTGCCCCTCCGCCTCCGCCGCCTCCGCCTCCGCCGCCCGCCGGACCAGCGCCGCCGCGTGGCACTCGCGTCCTCACTCGGCCTCAGCGCGCCACCGCGTGCGGCAGCACGTGCTCGCGCCACACGTCGGACAGCGCGCTCCAGTCCGGGTGCGCCTCGGCGTCGTCGGGCGGAGAGAGCGCGATCTGGTAGCCGATGCGCATGACCGTTACCGCGTACTCGCGCGCCGCCGCGGGGAAGAGCGAGTGGCTTGCCGGCGACCACGGCGCCGCCGCCCGCCGGATCAGCGCCGCCGCCTCGCCCTCGCCGCCCGCGGCGCGCTGCAGCGGCGTCGGCTCGCCCTCGTGCAGGCTTGCGCCGCTGCGCAGCAGGGAGAGAGCGCGGGCGGCGGTGAGGCTCTCAAGGTGCGCGAGCGGCGTCCAGCCGCGGCTGGCGACCAGCCAGGCGGCGAGGTCGGCGTGGCCGCGGCGGTTCGCAATCTCCTCGGGCGTGCCAAAGGGCGGCACTGCGGCGCGGGAGGCGCCGTAGGAGGAGAGGAGCTTGGCGACCTCGACGTGGCCGAAGTGGCACGCGACGATCAGCGGCGTGAAGCCGCCGTTCATGGCTTGGCCGACCGCCGCGCCAGCTTCGAGGAGCAGCCGGACGATGTTGAGGTGGCCCTCCGAGCACGCGACGAGCAGCGGCGTGGCGCCATTGTCCCTGGCTTGGTCCTTCGCCGCGCCAGCCTCGAGGAGCAGCCGGACGATCTCGAGGTGGCCCTGCCAGCACGCCTTGAACAGCGGCGTGACGCCGTCCTCATTGGCTTGGTTGATCGCCGCGCTGGCCTCGAGTAACAGCCGGACGCACTCAAGGTGGCCATCCTGGCACGCGATGAGCAGCGCAGATCCGCCGCCGCCATTCGTTGCCCCGACGCTCGCGCCGCCCTCGAGCAGCAGCCGCACCGCCTCGGCCTGCCCGTGCCGAGCGGCCCAGGTGAGCAGCGTGTCTTGCTTCTCGGTGTCGAGCCGCGCGTCGAGCTGGGCCGTGAGCGACGTGCCGCGCGTCCCCCACCCGGAGAGGACGGCGCGCAGCGAGCCCAGGTCGCCCACTGCCAGCCCGGGCAGCAGGGCTGGGCTGGCGCCGCTCATGCAATCATCTGGCGGGCCTTCTTTCTTTTTTTCCCCGGCTAGGAATCCTACATTCCCGAAGCGGCGTAGGAGGACTGACTGGGATTCTATACACACACAGCTGTGCTGTAGGCCTGTGAAGTCGCAGTCGCTACCTCGTCCCTTGTCTCAGGACTTTCCCAGTAGTCTCTTGGACTGGGAGGGGCTCGCGAGGACATGCCGGGCAGAGACTGCCACGGCACCGTCATCTGAGCCATCACACCCAGCCACAGCAGAGACTGGAAGGGGACATATTGCACACGGGGAGAACATGCTCTCTCTAGGCTGGACTCTCTGGCAAGCACACTCACACCGCACCCCACACCCGCACCCCGCCGCCCCGCCCAGGCGGGAAAGAGACGAGAAGATGAAACCTGTCGCTCTCCTTGCGTTCGTCGGGCGGCGCTCTCTCTCGCGGCCGCCACCGGAGCTCGCACTCGCACTCGAAACAGCTCTACAGAGGGGACATAGTGGGGGGACGTCTTTCCTCCTCGCAGCCCTAGTTTGCAAGGGCTTGTGGTGGTGTGAGCGAGCCCGGCCTCGCCGACCTCGCCCACGCCACCAGATGGTGAGGTTCTTTTTCTTCTTGCAGCCTCGCGCGTACCTGTGGGGTGGGGGCGTCTACGACAGCCTGTGTGAGCACGCATACCCGATCACGATTGCGCTGCGCGGAAGGCAGCGATGTAGTCGTCTAGCGGTTCGCCGGGGAGTTGCTTGCGGAAGGACGACGAGGAGGAGGTATCCGTTGAAGTGTCCGTTGAGGAGGCGTTCGGCGCAGTTGACATGCGATATGCCGATGCCACCTCTCGCAGGTAGTTGTACCGGTCGTTAAGACTGCAGAGGGCGCTTTTGTACCAGACTGCAGTCGGCATAATTGCGCCTGCCTGCAGCAGCCGGAGCAGAGTAGCGTGTCGAGCAGGGTCAGGCATGCAGTAGAAGGAGGCGCACACGAGCGCAGTCCAGCCTTGGTTGTCTCGCAAGTTGACTTCCGCGCCGTGCCGCAGCAGATGTCCACCACTAGCACGTTGCCGCCTTCAGCGGCGAGCATCAGCGCCGTCTCGCCCCCCCCATCTTGCTGGTTGATCTCAGCGCCGCGCTGCAGCAGCATCTGGACCAGCACCGCCTCTTGCTTGGCCCTGCCATACCAGCTTCCGCTCCCTCTGGCTGCAAGCCCCAGCAGTGTCTTGTAGATGGGCTGGCCCTTTGAGTCCCGCTCGTACTCGTACATCGCGTTGATCTGCCCGCCGCCGTCCAGCCACGCCCGCGCCGTAGCCTCGTCGCCCTCCTGGATTGCTCTGCACAGCGCCCGAAGCTTCTCTCGCTCCTCTCGCTCGCGAAGATAGCACTCGAGACTCGCAGCCTCCGCCTCTGGCTCCCTGGCTGGCAGCATGCCCGCCTTCCTCTCTGCCGTGCGCTGCTCTGACGCGCGACGCTTCTCTCTCAGCCTGTCCAGGCGCGCCTCGTACTCCCGCAGCTCTGCGTCACTGGCCTCGATGTCGACTGTTTTGGGGGCGGCAAGCACTGACGCAAGGGTGGCGAGCTTCGGAGATAGCATCGGCGGCGGCTGAACATCGTCGCAGTATGCTGCAGACGACAGCAAGGCGCACACTTGCGAATCCTGCTCCTGCTGGAAGGTCGACGCTGCCCTATCTCGCCATTGCACCGCCAGTGACCGTGTTTTCTCGATCATGAATCGCGTTGCCGGCTCACTCAGCGCGAGGCTAGCTGCAGCGGCCTTCTCGGCTGTGGTCCCACACCCACTGGTGTCCATCTCAGAGACCGCAGGAGGTCATGAGGGTCGATGGGAGTGCCAACCCCACAATGCCTAAAAAACCCAGCCCAGTAGTCAGGGCTGTCCATCAGAGCCGTCCAGTAAGCTCGGAGACACCCCATTAGCGCGGCTCGACCTCTTTGAGTCACTGCCTTCCCGGCGGTTTGGCTGTAGAGCCTCTACAACAAACTCTACAGCAAAATCGCGCTCTACATCGCTCTACAGGCGACTCACATCGTCACGCGCCGAATAGAGCTCTACAGCGCTCTTGTTAATTATCCCATCGATGCTTGAGGCTGGCTACTGCCACTTCGCTCCACAACCGTCCCGCCACCCCTGCCGTGTGCGATCCTGGCCTCACTGTCTTTCGATATTGCTCGCACACCCACTCGTGCGCGCTCTTACACATGTGTCCGTACGTCCGTAGTTGGCACGCCGTCACTGATGCTTTTCTTCCTTGCTTGACCTAGATTGGCAAGCGCTTCCGAGACAGCTCGCCGGCCCAGCTCCTTTTGCGACCAATGCCGGCCGCCGGCGCCAGCGATTCGGTCCCGCCCCTCAGGGGCGGCTACGTCGGTGGCTACAAGCAGATGAACATCAAGGAGTCGGAGTTCGAGTGGCTGCGCGGCTACCTCCAGCGCGAGGAGTCGACGCAGAAGCACTCGATGGGCGAGGCCAGCGATTCGTCCGAGACCGGATCCACCACGGACATGACCGACATCAGCTTCGAGCCGGTCGCGCACGCGCCCGTCAAGGCGATCGTGCTCGACTCGCCCATCCACTCGGAGCCGCGCACCGAGTCGCGCTCCTCCACAGACCCCGACACGGCGTACAAGCGGCGGAGAAAGGTGGGGTGGACCTCGACGGAGGACCTTGCGATCCTCGCCTCCGCGCGGCGCCTCGGCACGCAGTGGAACCGCATCGCCGCCCAGCTGCCCGGCCGCACCGCCGACGCGGTGCGCAACCGGTGGCACCGGCTGCAAAAGTCGCATTCGCTCGGCGACACTGAGGAGGGGCGCGCTGCCCTCGACGCGCTGCTGATCGCGTGCGGCTTCGACAAGGACTGGGTACCGCCCAACCTCGAGGCCGGCGGCCCCTACCCCGGCGACGAGGTGCGAGCCGCGCCCCTTCCCCGCACCCCCCGAACGCGCGCCAAAACCACCAGATTCGCGCCTGCTTCCTTGCGCGCGCGCCACGCACCCCCCCC